GACTGGATCTTTGAGTGCCTCTCTAGGTTTGGAAAGTTTTCTTGCAGGATTTCATGAAATAGATTATCAATACCCTTATGAGTCTCTTCGCCTTTTGGAATGCCCGTTATCCAGATATTTGGACGTTTCATGGTATCTAGTACTTCTCGTATATTATTCTCATTTTTGGGGGCCATTTTCTCAGTCTTCGTGGTGGATTTTTCTAGACCAGCAATTTTCTCTTCTATGTCAGAGATTCTGTTTTCTGAATTATCTAGTCTACTTTTAATACTTTCAAGGGAGATTTCGACTTCCTGTATTATAGCCTTCATCTCTAACAGTTCAGTTTGATTCTCTTTTAAAGTGTGTAATTCCTCTTTTAGATCTTGCATATATTTTCTCACCTCCTGGAACTTGTCAGCTTCTTTCTCCTTTCGCTTCTGTAGTTCATTGTCTCTCTTCTCTTCCATCTCTGTTAGCTTCACCATTATGAATGTTTTAAATTCTTTATCAGACATTTCCATGATTTCCATTGAACTGCTTGTGGATGAAAAGGAGTTATTCTTTTCCCTTGGAGGAGAGGTATTTTCTTGATTTCCCATATTTCTTGTGGTCCTGCAGTGATTTCTAGTCATCTGAAGGATGGTGTGCTTCTTCATAATTCTTGAAGTTCAATCTGAACGTTCAGGAGCAAGCAGAAAGAGGTAATCTGGAATCATTTTGCCATTCCATTGTGATTGCTTTGTGCAGCAGATTCAGTAGATATTGAGGAATATGTTAACCTATATGGATGTTTAGCTACAGTGCCCTTAGATCCATCTAGAAACACAGTAAATGGATATTGAGAAGTGGAGAGACAAGAAAAAAGAAAATGAAAAAGAGAAACAACAACCACAACAAAAACAACAACAACAACAAAACAGAAAAAAAGAAAAAAAAATTTTAATTATAATTATTGTTTTTCTTTAAAAAAAAACACAAAATAGAAAACTGCGTGACACACTCGCTAGTTTGCAGGAGCCATGATGACTCTTCTCCTGAAGGCCTGCCTCTCACCTCTCCTGCCTGGGTTGGAGGACCAGAGGGATTATTAAGAAGACAAAAGGTGGAGCTGAGAGCAAGAGAAAACTTTACCTTTAAAAAATTTTAAGAAGGAAAAATTACCAAAAAAATGAGAAGACAGAAGCAGGGAGAGACAGAGACAGCGACACAGAGACAGCGATAGAAGGCCAAAAGCGCTCCCTACTACTCTATCTTGTTTGCTGAAGGCTGAATTATCAGTAGGAAATCTTCATTTCTCTTTTACCCTGAAATGACTAGTTTGCAAGAGCCATGATGAATCTTCTCCTGAAGGCCTACTTCTCACCTCCCCTGCCACTCTAGCTTGTTTGCTGGAGGCTGAATTATCAATAGGAAATTTTCATTTCTCTTTTACCCTGAAATGACTAGTTCACAGGAGCCATGATGAATCTTCTCCCCACCCTTATAATAGTAAGAGGGCATTAACCAGAAAGAAAGAGACAAAAAGAAGAAGAGAAAGATAATACCTCCAAATCATGTGTTGCTGTGCTATAATCCCTTCTCCTCCTTTTCTTTATCCGGTTCAAATTTGGGGCACAATACACACATGCCCAGTGTATTTTTCAAGCTGTGGTCAGCCATGTAGAATCTGGCTCCCTTAACCACTATGCTATGGGGCTGGCCCAGACCCCATCTAAAGTTAAGTAAATCTGCAAAGACCCAGTGTCCTAATAAGGTCACAGCCACAGGTTTGGGAGGTTGAGACTTTTACAGAGATGCAGCTCAACCCATATTCTACCCATCACATTGTCGAAAAATATTTATATGACCTATGGAGGGAGAAATATTTGCCCTTGAGCAGTCACGTCTTTGGACTTTGAATTGGACATTGTGGATAAAATTGTGACATTTTCTTTATCTTTCCATTGATAGAGGTGTCCTATATTTGTTCAGGTCATATATTTAGAAAAGAAAAGAAAGCCACCAACTTCTTGTGAATTTTAGACTGAAAATAACTTATGAAAGTAAACAGGGACTTATTTATTTATTAATTAATTAGTTTTTGCTATAGGGCTCATACCTGAAAGAGAGAGGGAAAGTGAGAAATCACCCCCCTGAGGGTTGACTTTGCTGCATTCCCTTCTTCTTCATTTTCCTCACAGACACATAATTTTTAAGTTTTAGAGTCTGGGACTCACACTACATAACTGACCTTGTGGGATCCAGTGCCATAATCTTCACGCCTCCTGCTGGCCCCAGGAATTGTTTTTTATTCTTCTAGTTTAGAAATGTGTTGGGCCAGCCAGATGGCATGGTGGTTAAGGTAGCTGGATTTCACTTGGCCAACTGCACAGTTCAAGTCCCAGACCCAGTGGCTTGAAAAACAGTTTTGAGTGTGTTTGCATGTACATGCTCAAAATTCTTAGAGGAGAAAAGAGGAGAAGCAATTAAGGCATAGTCATTACCCCTGAGAGGTGCTTTCTCTCTCCCTCCTCCCCTCCCTCTTCTCTCCCCCAGTACGAGTGCACCTGTCCTGTAGCAAATTTTAAAAAAATAAGAAATGTTCTTTGTAGCATTATTAAATACTAAAGTTTTTTGGTATCTGTATTTAAAGATGCTAGTAGTTTAGATTTCTTATAAGTTGAAACCTATTTGAGAAAAATTTCTGATAAAATACTAATTAATATTTTTCTTTTTTATTCTCTTCAGGAATTAGCACACTCCCAGGTTAAACAGGAGGCTGTATTGCTGCATGAAAAACTTTATGAGTTAGAGTCCCATCGGGAACAAATGATTGCAGAAGACAAAAGCATGGGATCTCCAATGGAAGAGAGAGAGAGATTACTTAAGCAGGTAAGAAAAACAACCTTATTTTTATACCTCAGGTTTTGTTAAATGTGTTGATTTGTTTATTTGAGGGATATGAATTGAACAAAAAAACATTAAGTTTATTGAGAAAAGACAAATGTAAAATGCTAGCTTCACTTAATAAATACCTGATCATAAAAATCTGAGTAAGAGTCATCGTCTCACATATACTGTCTTTTGGTTTAAATCCTTATTTTATAGGAGTTTGAGCATATTTTGGCCACTTGAAACTTTTATTGATCATTAGACACTTAGATAATTTTATTGATGATATGTTCCATATATTTTGTGCCTTGTATTTAGAAAATGAAGTATCCCAAGGTTAATGGCTTTATGGTTGTAACTATCAGTGCTTTGATGAAGGAAATGGAATTCAAATGTCTTATGAAATTATATATCACAAAGATGTATCACTATATTCAGTAGCTCTTATTACCCTAGGCTGACTTTGGTTTAGCTCTTAGCTATAATTAGCTTGTTGTTTGTCCGAGCTATATCAACTATAAGGTTCCTTGAAGAACAGCATATATTTGAGCACATCTCTAATCAAGAATTTGTTTGTGGTCATAGATTAAACCCATTGAGTTTGGAAAAACCTAGGGGTCAATTCAGGGGCTATTTGGGTATTAGAATCATTCCAGAAAGGTGTATTAAACTCTAGACCCTCTGAAGTTTCTTAGAAAAAAAAAATCATTGGAGGCAGGGGAATAGAGAGTAAACTTGGGGTGGATTTTCAGATAATATACAGAATGGATATTTAAATATAAATTTCAAATAATGAATAATCTTTTAGAATAAAGATATATGATGTAAATATTATAAGGATATTCCATATATTACAAGTATATGCTAAAATGTATTAATTATTTATGTGAAATTAAAATTTATCCATGCTTGCTAAATCTGGCAACTCTACCCTGCAGAGTGGGGTACCCTCATAAACATTAGCTGTTCATATCAACTGATCCAGACCTAAAGATTTGTTAACTTGATCTATATATCTTATAGATAGATATGGTTATATTAGATGCTAATCTTCCTTTGAGGAAAAAGGAAGGAATCTGTGCATAATTCTTTAGTATTGTTCACTTCAAATATTAAATTCTGAAGAATAGTTTTCAAGAAAGAGACTAATTTTGACATTATAGTATTAGGTCATTGGAAAAATTATGACAGATAGAAAAATGGAAAATACATCATGACTTTTCCAGTGACCCAATACAATATTCCTTAGAAGGAGATTCTCTTCAAGGCAGTCTAATAATAAGCTAATTTATATTTTTAGCCAGAAGTCACATGCACTCACCAGAAGAAAGAAAGCAACCCTCGAATGGGAGTGTGTCATACTGTGATTCTTTTCCTCCATTTCTCTATTCCACCAGGATTTTGGACAAGCACATGCCTGATGTGTTGTTCAGGCCTCCAGGGCTGATATTCAAACTACAGCCAGACACATAGAATTCGGCTCCCTGTGCATGGTGCTTAATTGCTGTACCAACAGGGCAGCCCATAATAAGTTATTCTTTAAATACTATTTTCTTTTTATGTATTTGTAGGTTAAAGAAGATAATCAGGAAATAGCCAGCATGGAGAGACAGTAAGTACACTTATATTGGAATATTTTATATCCATTTCTCATCTTTTAAATTACATTCTATAGGTATAAGAGTATCTATGGTTACATATTTTTTTCTATAGTTTTATTGATTATCTGTTGCTAATATCAATAATGATACAGCTTTTATTCTTAGAGTTTTAAACATTTCGGTAGTTAATTAAGAGCCATTGTATTGTATAATTTTAAAACAATTCAGTTACCACAATAAAACCCTGTATTCCTTAATCATCATCTCTCTCACCCCTCTCTCAGCAACCAGTATTTACTTTATGTCTTATAGATGTGCCTAATTTGGACATTCTATATAAATGGAGTCATATATTACATGGATCCATGCTTTCACTTAGCATAATATCTTCAGAGATCATCTGTGTTGTAACATATATCATTATTTTACTTATTTTTATTGCCAAATACTCTTCTACTGTATGACTATACTATAGTTTATTTGATGCATTCAACAGTTAGTGGACATTTGAGTTTCCATTTTTTAGCTATCATGAGTCATGTTGCTATGAAGATACATGTACATATTTTTCTTTATTTCATTAGAAGAGAACTAATGTTCTCAAAATGTACTTGTTCTCTAAATATGCTTCATGAAAAAGTCTATAAATGATTTTCTTTGTTAATTTATAGTATTAACCTTAGAATAGGGCATATTATTTTCAGATATTGTTTATGCAACTTAGAAAATATGTCCTAAAGTCACCAAGTGCTTTTACTGAATGTCTACATTATTTTCATAAACTCATTAAATAACATTTTCAACAGATTGACAGACATAAAAGAAAAAATAAATCAGTTTAATGAAGAAATTAGACAACTTGACATGGATTTAGAGGAACACCAAGGTAATATATCTTGTATTTTTATAACGTAGATTAATAAATATATAGCACTAAGACTAGCAGATGGTATAATGGTTACGTCACTGGACTCTCCTGTAGTTCATTGTGCTTCGAGTCCCAGACCTGGTGGCTTAAAACTCATGTCTGGCCCGAGTGTCCAAAATCCCAAGAGGAGAATGCAGGAGAAGGGATTGTGGTGTGGCCATCCCCTCAAGGGGATGATTTCTTGCTTCCAATCTCTCTGTGTGTCTCTCTCTCTCTCTGGTGAGCGCATGCGCCCTATAGCAAAAGTCTCTCTCTCAAAAAAAAAAAAAAAAAATATATATATCACTCGTGATAACAGTATTGACTGATTTATTATTTAATTCTTTATGGTGTTTCTAATTTTAACCAGTAAAAATAGTCTAAATATTCTAAATACTAAAGAAATTATTTAAAAATCTTGATACAGTTTATAAGAATTTGTTTTGTTTTGCAAAGCAGTTTTTTTTTTTTTTTATTATAATGGACATTTACTGGGACCAGCAGTTGACACAATGGCTATGTCGTTGGACTCCGATGTAGTCGACTGTGGTTCGAGTTCCAGACCCGGTGACTTAAACTCACACTGGGCATGTGTGCATGCATGCCCAATATCCCAAGAGGAGAATGGAGAAGGGATTGCAGCATGGCCATCCCCCCTGGGGGGGTAATTTCTTGCTTTCTGTCTTTCTGGAGAATGCACGTACCCTATAGCAAAAAAAACTCTCAAAAAAAAAATACACATTTACTTAAAGTAATACACCTGCAGACCAAATAATTTTTAAATTAAATGTTTCAGGCTCAACCAACTTCATAAAAATACTTTAAGGACAACCGTATCCACGATTGCAACCTAGTTACTTCTTTGCCCACTCTTCTCTCTCTTTTCTTTCCCAAATAATCTCTTTCATATATGGTTCAAGGTAGAAATTATCCTGCTCATACATTGTAATACCATTTTTGAATACCATCCAACCACCAACCTGATGCTGAAATGGCAGGCCTGCTCTCCATTTTGACCCAAGAGCAAAGGTGTTGCCTTCTTGGAAAAGCAATTTCTGAAACAATGAAGTAAATGATTTAGAGTTGCTTAGATTCCTAAGTTATTCTTTCTCAGTATGGTCAACTATTAAATGGGATAACTGGTAGAGTTGTAGAGGGTAGAGATCAAATCACAAATATCACAGATAACCCAGAAAGAATTAATTCCCCAGTGTGGCCAATTAATGAAGTAGTAGCAAGGTCTGATTATCTTGGTCTTGCCTCAACTTTCTCAGCAGTGGGATTGGAAGAATCAATATGGGTACAAGCACATCTGGAGAAGGTTGGGACCTGCACAAGTGGAAATCCTGTGGTGAGGGTTTGGGCTTTGGAAGCTACAGTGTAATACAAAGTTAGGGGAGAAGGTTGGGCATTACGGGTTCCTAACCAATCTCACCCTAATAAGCAAGAGAAAGTGGATATTCCGTGGCACTTTAATTTCAGTTTAACTATGGACCAGTTAATATGCTCTTGGGTTATCAAGAATTGACTGCATAGTCCCTTTTTCTAAAGTTTATTTATGAGAGAGAGAGAGATTGACTTTTGACAATATCTCACCATGTCAATATCCTGTTGTCCAACTTCCCAACTAGTTAGGACTAGCATACAGCCATGCCTAGCCTTTCTGGGCTGAGTCTGGAACTGAACCCAGACCTCCCATATGGCTCACCCTCTGAAGAGCAGAATCTCATCAGCTTGCATCAGTGCAGCTTATTTTTCTGTATATTCTTATGAGTTAGGTTTGATACAAACTGTGTGTGTCTGTGTACATGTATACCTATTCTGGCAAAGAAAACATTATAGTAGGAAAAAAAAGTATTTGTTCCTAAATTATTCTTTTTTTTACTTCTGTGTTAAAGGTAATATATCAGTGTTATTTGTACTTTGTAAACTCCAGAGTCTTAGTTCTATTATACTAAGTCAAGTCTAAGCTTGACTTTCTAATATGAAGTAGTACATTTTTGAAATAAAAATATTTCTGATATGAAATAGTACATTCTTATAAAATACTTATATAGTTTTATTTACATATGACTATCACTAGCTTTAAATAAGGCATCTAAAGACAGATTTTTAAGAACCAGTTATTAGGTAAGTTATCTTACCTGAGCTTTAGTTTTTTTTCATCTGCTAAATGAATGTAATAGTCCTGTTTCACTAAAATTTGTGAATATCAAAGGCATACACAGTGATGTAATAATACATCACAATAATTTGTGAGCATAAGGTCATGTTATTTTCTTTTTAAAAGATTTGTTTATTTTATTAACAAATAAAAATTATGTATGCTTATGTGTAGGATGTGATGTTTGAAATATGTATACATTGTAGAATAGTTACATCAAGCTAATTAACACATGCATTGTTTTGCATGCTTACCATTTTTTGTGGTGAAAACACTTAAAATCCACTATCTTAGCATTCTTCAAGACTATATTGCATACTGGGACCAGCAAATGGCATAACGGTTACATTGCTGGACTCCCATGTAATTGATAGCAGTTCAAGAGTCAGACCCAGTGGCTTAAAACTCACACCATGTGCATGCGCATGCATGCCCAAAATCCCAAGTGGAAAATGGAGGAGAAGGGATTGTTTCATGGCCATCCCCCTCTGGGGGGGGAGTGATTTCTCGTTTACTGTCTCTTTGTCTCTGGTGAGTGCATGTGGCCTATAGCAAAAAAAAAAAAAAAGAAAAAAATCCAAACAAACAAAAACACTCTAAAAAAAGGAGTATACTGCAATTACTAACTGTAGTCATCATGTTGTACAGTAGCTCTCTTGAACTTATTCCTAACTGAATGTTTATATTCATTGACCATATTATTTTCTTTATAAGTTATTTCACTGGTTTTATATTGATTTAATAGTCAAGATCTTATTCTTTATTAATATATTTAAAGTTGCTCTGAGAAATATGATAATGTTCTTTATTTTAGATGCCTTATTAGCATATATTCTAAATGATTTTCCTTTTTCTAAATGTAAATTTCTAACATTCATTTTCTTTCCACTAAAATAATGCTTTTTTTTCTTGTTTTTTTTTTTGTTTGTTTGTTTGTTTGTTTGTTTTTTTACCTGATTAAATTCTCACCCCTTAAGATCTAGCTTCGGTGTCCTGTCATCTATTGTAACTGTTAAGTTCCTTCCCTGACCTGCTCTGATCTAGGCTTAGCATAGGGCTTTGCTCCATGTTATCAAAGAACACAGTACATGGATCTATCACTCCACTGTCTACATTTATATTACAGTTATTTACTTACTTATGTGTTCATCTTTTCTCTTAGCTATAAATCCTCAGGGACAGAGACTGTATCCTTTTTACTTAAAGTATTAACTATTTTAGTTTATTTTATATTATTTTTTTTTCAGAGGTTTTCACTATAGGGTGCGTGCGCTCGCGAGACAGACAGAGAGAGAGACATAGAGACAGAAAGCGAGAAATCACCCCCCAGGGGGGATGGTCACACCGCAGTCCCTTCTTCTCCATTTTCCTCTCGGGATCTTGGGCACGCACGCACATGCGCCCAGCGTGAGTTCTAAGCCACCGGGTCTGGGATGCGAACCGCGGTCGACTACGTGGGAGTCCAGCGACATAGCCATTATGCTAACTGCTGGTTTCCGATTATTATTTAATTTGCTATAGGGCATGAGTACTCACCATACAGAGAGAAATAGAGAGAGCAAGCCTCCCGGTCTGGGACTCAAATAGCAGTTGGTCATGTGGGAGTCCATTGCCTTAACCACTGGGCCACCTGCTGGCCCCAGGAACTGTATCTTAATCACTTTGGCAACTTCTTTTATCAGCACAGTGTCTAGGAGAGTAAACAACAAATGTTTGTAAAATGAGCTAAGCAATCTGTATTTTACCAGGGGAGGAATTGTAGAATGAAATAAAGGTGCAAGTTGGGCACTAGTCACTTCTTTGGGCCCTACTAGTTCTAGGATGTATGTATGCTCTTCCCCATAGAGAGTTTGACTGTAAAATTTTTATTACTTTCCAAAATATTCACGTTTTCATTCTTTTTTTTTATAAAAAATTATTTAACTTTATTTATTTATTTATTTGTTTGTTTATTTTAATTTGACCAGAGAGGGACAGAGTGAGAGAGAGAGAGAAAGGGAAAGTGAGAAAGCAAACTGCCAGGTCCAGGACTTGAACCGCAGTCAGCCACATGGGAATCCCGCACCCTTAACCACCACACCACCTGCCGGCCCCCATGTTTTCATTCTTAACTACATTTGTATCCTCAGCAGTCCCTTGACTCAAGATTGTGGGTAATCCATTGCTAAGACTGTGGATAACAATCCAGTTATTTTATTTTTTTTAGTTCATACTTATCTCTACCCCCTGACTTTAGTCACCATCTGACCATTTTGTTCATTTCTTAGGTACTACTTGGTCTCTACTATTAATTAAAGCTAAGGATAATCTACTAAGCCACTTTTGCCTTGTATGGTTTCTGGTTGAGATAGCACATAACCAATTAATGGTACTTATCTGACTTTTTGGGAACTGCTCCAGCTTTTTAGTTTTCAAATAAACTTTAAAAATGGTTTATGTAATTCACTCTAAATTCAGAGGCATCCTTAGGCGTACCGTCTTAGGTATAGTTGTATTAAGGATCTTGTAATCTAATAGCTTCCTCAAATATGTCATATTTAGGGATAACATTTGCATATAAGCTATACACATTCTCCCACATACTTTAAATAATCTCTAGATTACTTATAATACCTAATAGAATATAAATGCTGTGTAAAGAGTTGTACTATTGGGTTGTCAGAAAAGTCATGACAGTGGGACCAGCAGATGGTATAATGGTTATATCACTGGAGTCCCATGTGGTCGACCACATTTCTAATCTTGGACCCGGTCGCTTGAAACTCATGCCAGGCACATATGCATGCGTGCCCAAAATCCCGAGGGAGGAGAGTGG